GTCAAGTAGAGGTAGCCCAATTAGAGGGCTAATCTCTCAGGAAGACTATTTATCCCATTCTCTGTAATCACTAATTTCTTGTAGCTCTTCATTTAGGGATGAGTCCTCATTAGATTTCTTCCATTCAAATTTGCTTGTCAACTGCTGTCATTTTTCAGGTCTTGTTTAGACTACTACAGTATTAAGATGTCATAAGTGCAGGTTTCCTGTCAAATATGAAGGACAGCAATGAGCATTATGGTACAATATAATTTGGCAGTAGCCAACATCAATATAATAGGGCCTAAGACCCATTCAATCAGAACAAATTCATGTCTAGAACTGTAAACCAGGCTAACTAGCCATGGCTGGGGAGGCCACAGAATCTAGAGCATTTCCTCGTTTCCTAAACCATTGCAATCTAGCTGCATTCTAGATACTTATTCTGATGATCACAGGTAAGTTTAACTCTCAGCCCTCCTCAGAGAAGCTTCCTTTATTATTATTTTCTCTGGAGATCATTATAGAAATCCACGCCTTGTCAAAATACAAAGAAAAATGAAGTATGCATCCCCAGTTGATACATCTACAACACTACCCCTACAACTAAGGCTCAGGAAACTTCTTGGAAAAGGAGCAGAAAGATTATAAAAATCAGGGGACGCAGATGTTGGTGGATAGACTTTAAATATCCTTGCTTGAAAAGGGAACTTTAAGATTGTAGAGTTTATCTCCAAAGTGGAATAAAGGAGGAGTCTGGGAGCTCTTTTTCTCTAGCAGCCAGCCAATTTTTCCCCTAGCTTACTCTCTGAGCATCAGGCTGACCTGAACAATGAAATGCTGTAGGCTCTATTGCTGTGTTTACTATCACAACTCATCTGGAAGCCTGGAACTTCCATTAATCCCACTTGCCTACATTCTAATTCTTTCCATGGCTGTAGGGGGTGAGAGACACTTTCTATATTCCCTGTTTTAAGTTACCTAAAGCATTTCTCTTCATTGTGTAATAAAACAGCTTACAGTTTTAGTCATTTCTGACATTCTTTAAGCAACTACAAGCTAAAAAGTAGATAATGGCAGATATTTGATCTTCTTTACTCATTCCAGTATCTCTATTGCCTATAAGTTTGCCCAATAGACATCGAGCACCTGCTCCATGCCCATTTACTCGGAACTTTTACTGCTGATAAAAGCTTGTAGATGAATCACACTAACCAAATTTATACAGTAAAGAATGGGTAAGCTGAATAAACATTATATCTGTGGTATAAAGAAATTGAATAAATATGTAATAACCTTGCAAAAATGAATCCTTGCTTCCAATGTTTTCATTAGGGAATTCTATAACATGGTGAAGGGAGCAATGAGACCAACTCTACAAAATAATTCTTTAGAAAATAGGAACACAGAGAGAAATTTACAAATCCATTTTGTGAAGTGTAAATTAGCTTAATGTAAAAGCCAGATAATACATTAAGGGATATAAAAAGAAAAACATAGTGTCTCTCATAAAAATAATTAATCATAAAAACATAAGCATAGTAAATGTAATCAACTACATAACAAGTTAATGAATGAAAGACAAATATCCTCTATTTGATATAGAATTTAAAATTCATAACAATAAAATAAAAATCGGTGAAAGATTTACTCTAAATCACACAGAAAAAAGTGAACAAGATAAATATTCCTTTTAACTAGTATTATGTTTAATGGCAAAAATGTAGATTGTTTCTTCTCAAATGAGTGTCATGATAATAATAATCCTCACACCTCTTTAATTCAACCAACAAGACAGTAAAAAGGAATTTTCATGTATGTCAACTGGAAATGCATTGAAATTTTTTTCTCTTCATGGAGAAAACAAGATTACCCATGAAACAAAACCCAAAGAATTAGTAACATAGCTCCTATAGCTAAAATGAGACTGTATCCAGGTCATGTCCTAAAAAGTGAAGTCAAACCATACAATTATCTTCATAATTGCATTTTACAACTGAAATTGGAAGTTCAATTTAAACGTAACAGTGATTGCTCCAGAAGGGTTAGGACCAAGTAAGTGATGTACAGGGAATTTTGTTTCTCTTTCTCTTTCAAGAGTGGTGAGGTTTGACATTAAGATGAGGGTGTATACAGGTCAATGATCATCTCTAAAATGTATGAAATTCTTTAACACAGACTAAGTTTTATTGTATGCAAACTGAGAAGCAATTTAGGAGGTTAGAGCATTACTAGGAATGCTAATTAGATTATATCAACTTGACACAAACTACAGTCAGGTGAAAGTCATTTGGTTGAAAAAAAATTCCTCTATAAGATAGGGCTGTAAGCAAGCCTGTAGGGCATTTTCTTAATTAGTGAGTATATGGGGAAGACCCAGTTCATTAGTGAGATTACTGGGATGGTGGTCCTTGGTTCTATAAGAAAAGAGGATGAAGAAGCCATGTAAAGCAAGCCAATAAGCAACACCCCCTCACAGCTTCTGCATCAGCTCCTGCCTCCAGGTTCTTGCACTGTTTGAGTTCCTGTGGAAGTATAAGCCAAATAAACCCTTTCCTCCACAACTTGCCTTTTGATCATGGTGTTTCACCACAGCAATAGAAACTCCAAGGCATTGGGTAATATGCAGAGTGTGATAAACAACTGTAAGTACATTACAACTGTGTGGCATAGTGTCACCGAGAAGTCTGGAGGAATAGATGCTAACCTTGGTGCCTTTGGATGTCCATGGATACTGTAAGAATGAAGGCAAAGTTTATACATGTAACTGTATTGTAGCTTATAAATGTAATTATATCTGCATACCTAAATTGAACACATTTGTTTACAAGGGACATAGTATCTTGGCTATTAAATGAAGAGCTACAAATACAATACAGATGGACTAGACTGTTCTACATGGTAATTGATTAAATTTAAAAACATCAGTAGAAATTCATTTTAGCTTTATATAGATGCAGATGGTTATAGAAACCAACATATGTACATTTATAAAATAGTGTTGTCTTTGTGCGCATATGTGCATATGTCCATCCACAAGTAGACGTATACTACAGTGCTTTATTTAGCTAAGAAATGTTAGATATGATGCTAGAAAAGTAGCATGGATGATCTTAGTGACAAAAACTTGATTTAATACACTAGCATCCAAAATATGAATGAAGGACTCTTTGGACATATGGAGAGCTCTAAAATGAAAGAAAACTATTCACCAAGAGCCTTTTGCACACTGAACAGAAAACACAGAACAATCTGAGTGGAGAACAAGCCAATAAGACTCCACTTTAAAGGGCACATAGGTGGCATGTGATGGAACCTCCGAACAATGTGAGCCCTAAAGGAAAGTAATTAGGTTATATTTCATATGCAGATATAAAAAGTTAATAAATAAGGAAGGGAGAGAATAAAATTCTGTGTAGAATAACCCAATTGTGTCAAACACCGACAGTAGGAATTTGTACAGCTAAGGCTCCATGAGCATTATATGCACAGAGAAGAGTGTTGTTTTATTATCAGGCTCTTCCTCACAAAACACATAACTACAATCTAATTTGCCAACAAGAAAGTTTCAAGAGGATCTAGAACTGAATATCAAAAATACTCAGCTCATGAAGTTAAAGACATAAAACCTAAGAAGCTTTATCCAGAGCAAATAAGAAAACATTGTTGATCGAGTGTAATGTGGTAATATGGAGGAAATGCAAACCAGGGAGAAGGTAAGACTTGGGAAGATTGGATTAAGTTGAATTTACTTGCCTAAAAGATTAGCAAAAGCTAATGTCCAACGTGATGTCAAAGGTCATACAAGTCACCACAATACCAAAATTTATAGCTGTTTCTCACTTCTGGACAAAGATTTGACATCACTATGTCATACTATAGGAAAAATTATTTTGTATTAGGCATAATCTTGTGTCTCATCATAGTAACCGTCACTGGTATGCTGAGTTCACCAAAGGTTGATCCTATCCCGACTTAGTCTTTGAACAAACCTCGTTCATGACACTTAATATAGCTATAGTGTGACAATGCTTGACAATTTAACACAAACACATTTCTACACTCATTTATTTATTTATACTGATTTGAGGGGGATGTGTGCAAAAGTGCATATATGATGCTCCAGGGACAGCTTGCTGGAGTCAGCTTTCTTCATTCACCTTCTGGATTTTAGGCATATAAGTTAGGTCATCCGTCTTGGCTGCAAGTACCTTTACCTGCTGTGACATCTTGCTGGCCCAACAAGACTGGCCCCAGAATTACAGTGTGCTTTAAAATTTCCAAACTTTTTTTCAGCATATGTATCACCCAGTCATTTTATAATCATACACTCTGCTGAACATATTCATAAGCATGAACTTTACAATATCCATGTTATAAATAAACCAAATACTCAGGCCTGTCAGCACCATAAGCTGCTGCCCGAGCACAGTACGGGCATCTCTCCTTTGCTTAATGCTACAGGCAATACCTTGAATTTTGCCAGTTTTATGTGAGCAACAGTGATGATGGTAACTTTTAGCAATAAATCTAAAGACAGACTTCTAGGCTTTCTTGTTTTATTCTTTACACCCAAAAACTGTTAAAAAAAAAAATCATGGGAAGAAAGCTACTTGTGTATAGTATATTAAAACAAAAGAACATACAAAAATAAAACTCGAAATCTTGATAGAGTAATAAAGGAAACCCCAGTAACTGATAGGGAAAGAGTCAGCCAACACCCTGGGGACTTTTGGATAAGAAAAAAAGTGTGCTTTCTGTATGTTTTCAGCCAGTATTATCTGGTTGCATATAAACTGGTTGCAACCCTCCTCTCATCAATACGTTCATACATACACCTGTTTGGAACTTGGCACCTTCGAATATAGATACTGCTTCTGCCAGAACTGCTTCTGCCAGAACTCAAATAAAAGCTCATCTTTCATAACACCAAACATGCGATGCCTCCAAGGCCTCCAGAGAGACGTTTCAGAAACTTTGGATTTGTGTGTTCAGAGACCTTGCACCACGCGTTTACTAACCTCCGAAGTAAGAGCCGTCTGTCAGTTTCATTTCTTTACTGGACTTGGTGATGACTCCAGCAACACCGTGCTGGATGAAATACATTTTCTTCCCCACAGCTCCTTCTCGAATGATATAATCTCCAGGCTGGAACACCTCAAATCTCAGCTTGCTCAGCATGGCCGTCACGAAATTGGGATCCGCGTTAGCAAAAAGAGGCATTGTAGCCACCAGTTTCCGGCAGTTGAAGTTGACTATTTCCTAGAGGTGGCAAGAATGGGCACACAGGAAGGGGGGTATCAGTCATAGCTTGGAGAAAAGCATAAGTTCTCATTTAAAAACATGTATATACAGAATAATGGCTAATTTACATTTGTAAGCCACATATGAATGTTTTGTTTTAATTTTTAAAATGTCTTTAAAATTTCACTCACACACTTAGAATCCAATAATATGTTAATTAAATACTAAAAATATCAATTTTCTTACCCTTATTTATATATTATTTTGCATTTGAAATTACAGCTTACATGTGGAATCTTAAACTTCTTTTTATGTTTATCAATGAAAAATGCAATGTCCCAGAAAAACTAGGTGCAGTGTTACTTGTCTTTTGTTTCATAATGCTGAACAACCTACCTGGTATCCCTGCCAGCTGGAATTATGAAAGGAGGAAAAGACAGATGTACTCAGTTTACATTTTTAAAAAATATCATTCCCATTAGATCAAAGGAAACAGAGAACAGTTGTTATCAAAGGCAATCAGTGAAAGATTGTAGATGAATTCTGATTTCTGCTTCGTTAGAACAAACCTCATTTCCAAATCACACACTGGAGTCTGAATCGGAAAGAGGATATCTTCTTTTCCTGTCTCATTATTTGTTTTCTGAACAGCTAGAAGATCTACATGTTTGGCTTCATTTTACAGGTTTTAGCTCAGATTAGAAATATTTGTGTTTCCTTGGGTTAAGATGGTGATATAGGAAATTGTGTTATTGCTTGTATTGGTATAAGTAATGGTGATATAATGTTATCATTATGACATTTCTTGATAACTCCTTCATAAGAGGAGCTAGCATCAAGGGTCCTCTTGTGAAAGATTATCAAAAAACTAAAGTTATGTTGAATTTTGAATCTTGTTTAAGAAGCATAAAAACTAAAGTCACCTTTCCAAAGAGGTGAGAGGGAGCACAGTGGCATGTGGGTGTTAACATTTGAAACATGTTAACACATAGGCATAGGTTAGAGCATTTGAAAGCATTATCCATGAGACAAGAGTCCTTGGTATTATTTCACAAAATGTCCTGAGATCACCTTGGCATAGGTTAACATTTCTAGGTGTCTAGTAAAGACAGTTTGATAGATACACACAACAGGGCATTACTCAGTCAGAAAAGAGGATGAATTCTTGTCCTTTGTGAGAACGAATGTTATTGGAGATCATTAGGATAAAAGTAAACCAAGGACAGAAAGTAATATGTCTGGTGAGTTTTCTCAAATGTGGTGCCTGAAACAGTTAATTCCATAGAAACTGAGAGAGAAAGGGAGGTAACAAGGGAATGAGTTCAGGGCACTAAGTTATATATCATGAAAAAAGTCTCCTGTGCTTATTGCACCAGGCGATGACAGTGACTACAGCAATAGCAGCAACAACATAACAGCAGCAACAACCACAGAAACAGCAGCAACAACAGTAACAGCAAGAACAACAGCAACAGCAGCAAGAACAACAACAGCAAAGGCAGCAATAATAGCAACAACCACCACCACCTCCACTCTACATTTCTGAGAGCTAGAATAATTAATTTTGAATATTTGTGCCATAAAAGCCAAACATTTGAAGAAATTTAATACATTTACCTTGATGTAAATGTGACTCGTGTGACTTGGTGTAATGTGGATTCGTCAGAGTCCACGTTAGATACAGGTATTAAACATCCTATGCACATCTATAATTTGTATATTTTATACACAAATTAAAATCTCAGTTCAATTTAAAATAGTCCCAATTGATAACACAAAGTATACTATCTGGGGTCCGTACTTCTGAAATTATCTCATCTTAATTTTCCCATACAATGTTATTCTGTCATTTTGATGGAAAAATTCTTAGTTTTATACAGCTCATCCTCTCATTTTAATGGCACAGACCTGATGTCTATTAACTTCATCTTGTCTGTTACTTTCCTATGCTATAGCTACAGGAGTATTTACAACTCTCAAACAGAACATCCCTTATATGTACGTGATACCTGTTTCCCACACTCTTTGGTTGACAAAGCTTCTCAAAGTTTTAACTGTCTCCTTACAAGAAGAAAACAAGTTTTTCTTACCTTAACTAAAGCCTTTTTGCTTCATCTTTCACCTGACCTTCTAGTCTTCCCTCCTTCCTTCCATCCTTCTATCTTTCCTTCCCCTTTTTATTAATATGGACACATGTTTAAGTCTTGTTCACTAGGAGCTGAACACTGTTACGTATGCGTACCTAGTACTAACCTTGTCAGTACAAGCTGAAATAATTAAAGTTGCCATAGATACAGCTCATTATAGAGTTAACTGCTCACCATTTGAGTTTGACTAATGTTAACCAAATATCACATTTAATATCATTCTCCTATCTTTGTTATTTTGTTTAGCTTCTGAGTATAGCTGATTTTTTTGTATTTTTTCCCTCCCTTTTTTAGAGATAGTGCTATTTTGAACTTACAAGATGTCCTTGAGGAGGAAAATCATCCTCTTCACCCCAGGTGGATCGTAAATATTGTGCTTTTAAAACTAGGTGTAATCCAGTCAGTTTAATTCAAATAAAGTAATAAAATAGAAATTATTTTATTGATTTTTTAAATTAAACTGACTGAAATATACCTAGTTTGGATAGCAATATCCTTTATAGAGTGTGATACGAAGATATTTCATTCCTGCCATTTTCCGGAATATATGTAATATTAAGTCCAACCTTACAGTATTTGACAGTCTGTCTCATATCCAAGACAGCCAGGAGACTCTCTGAGCTCAGAAGTCCATGAGAATGAGTGACTCAGTGAGGTGTGGTGTTCTGCATGAGATCATGGAACAGGAGCTTGATTTTAAAAATGCTGAAATATGAATGATATTTAGACTGTCTCAAAGGTCTTATGGAACAGCTCCATACTAACTAATGATATTTAAAAGAAGAGTTGGGTGAAGTGTAAAGGGGGCTGTCCCTACAGTCTCTGTGCATGTTAGTAAATGGAATACTATCCTGCAAAGAATGCCTAAGAGACAACTATTCTCTAAATGAATACAAATAGGATATTTTGTCACAGTACTTAAGTACATTTTCTTTAAATAATTAAACCATTTAAAACTAAGAAAAATATCTGTTAGTCAACATTCAAATATATCATATTGATTGTCGGCTCCTGACTCTTTCAATATGAACATAAATTGTAGATATCTTAAGAGATTTAACCTGTATTGGTTTCTTGTTTCTACTGTTTATATTAAACAAAACCAAACTCGTCTCAAAATTTGAAACATTTTATTCTACTTACATTAGCAAAAATAAGGGAAAAACAAAATATTTCCCTACAAAAATTTCTTTCAAAAGAATATAAGTTATTTGTGTAAGAGTATTATTTTTACTTTCCATGGTTTTTAAAGTTTTTAATCAAAATTAAATTACAGTGTTCCACTTTCAATATTCTATAATAGAAAATTATTTTGTACATCTAGTTAGAAAAGGGGATTGATAATTCTGTTAAACTTTTATAAAGAGAAGTAACAATGAATAGTTGTCATAAACAAAAATCCCAAAAAATTCCAAATCCAGGAGAATAAAACATTGTTTGGGGGATTACACAATGTTAAGTTTGTGAGAATAGACTTGATGTGTTAGTGATGCCAATTGTTGCAGATATCATGATATGTTTTGAAAATAAAAATGACCAGTAGAAAAAATAAATAGCAAGATTGTATTTTCTGTAATATATTTTCAAAAATGTCTCACGTAAACGTATAAGCTGTAAAGCTGTAATTACTCTTTTGAGGAGAAGTTTTACTGAATCGAAAATTGCTCAGGAAGAATTGGCCAGCCACTCTGGCTCCTAGAAGACACTTTCTCCTGTTGAGTTTACCAGATGTGTTCTCCAGTTCTCTGAAGACCAGGTCTGAGACAGCAGAGTGAATAAACTTTAATTCTTTGAGAAAGAATACAAACTTTCCCTTCTAATACCTTAAATTAGAAATATTTGTTGTCAAAACATGAGGTTATAAACAAAGTTGTAATAATATTTGTATATTGTCATACATGTCTTACACATTTTGTCAGTAATATAGTGTCATATTGTCCTTAGGCTAGCTATTTAATCAGACTGCACAGTTACCCTAGCCATTCAAGAGTTTTTTCTCTCTCCTTTCCTCCCCCCTATCAATCACACACACACACACACACACACACACACACACACACACACACACACACACACATGCTTCAATAATTCATGTCATTGAATCACCTTCAGTAACCTGGATTTAAGACTTTTAAATCAGCTTTTAAATTATTTCTTGTATTGAAAATAGATTTTTTTCCTTACACAATATATCTTGATTATGGTCTCTCCTCCCTGTATTCTCACTGGTGTACCCCACCCCCTCCAGTTTGTCCTATCTGGATCCACTCTCTTCTCTTGTTAGAAAATAAACAGACTTGTAAGGAACAAAATAAAATATAATAATACAAAACAAAACCCAACACATTGGACAAGAGAAACAGAAGAAAAGTGCCTATGAGAAGGCAGAAGAAATAGACTCATATATTCACATATTTAGGCATCCCAAAATACGTTAAACTGGAAGCCATAATATAATGCAAAGACTGGTACAATTCTATGAAGGCCTGGTGCATGCTTCCTTAGTCCCTATGAGTTCTTATGTGCTCTGCTCATGTTGATTTAGAGGGCCTTGTTTACTTGACGTCTTCTCTCCCTCCAGCTCTTATTTTAAAAAGGGCATAATTCAGGTGTCAATTGACAAAGAAAAATATCTGCATTGGCTCTTACTTTGATGTGTTGTTCTTAGTTATATGTATATGATTTTTTTTTTTTTTGGTTTAGGTGTTCCAAGTGATGTGCTTAAATGTCATAGAAGCTAATAATTTTGCTCATAATTTCTTAGTTTTTATAACTATTATAGTAAGAGGAATCCTTTTTTTGTAGAAGGATAAACATTTGAAGAGAAATATTATTAATTATACCACATTTTCAGATATCTGTGAACATATA